TCGTCACAAGCTTCAGCTGCTGCGCGTTCAGCCGAGGCACGTCGTCAGCAGCGTCAGTGTTTTGTTCAGTGCGCAGCAGTTGGTGACCGTTTGGGCGCGTGTCGACTGTTTCCTGCAGATTTCGGCTTCATGTTTGAGAGCTCTCCTGGTGGAAACCTGGGCTGGGAGCCGGACATCAAGCTGACGGACGAGATGGTGATGATCATGGGAGGCAAAATGGAGGCCACGCCTTTCAGATGGTTCATGGAGATGTGCGTCAGAGGATACCTGGCTGTCCGGTAAGAAGCTCAAAGCTCTGCAGGTTCAGTTTGAAGCTTTTTGATCATCAGGAGAACGTTGCTGATGCTCGTCTCTTCAACAGGCCTTACATGGACGCAGTGGTTTCTCTGGTGACCCTCATGTTGGACACAGGACTGCCGTGTTTCAGAGGACAAACCATCAAACTCCTGAAGTAAGACCTACAGAACCGTGTTCGGACAGGTCAACCACACTCAGCTAGAAACTGCAGCTGGGTTCAGGGACTGTTGGAGAAGTTATTTGAAATAATCACTCAGGAGTCCGGGGTTACAGTTTGACGAGGATGTATTAAAATTACTTGCAAGGAGAGAGATTGTCTTAACAAGCAATGTCCTCTGAACCCACAGAGCGTTGTCCTTACAGCCGGAGCAACAACTCTGACAATCGGCACAAAGATACAATTATTTAAACATTCCCAAGAAAAAGGATTTCCTGCCCCCTCTGCAGCCACGTCACCACATTCCAACCAACGCCCCATCTCTTCTGACGGAAACGACAGGAGACAAAATACTGACTTGATCATGTAAACTTCTACATAGTAGAAAAACACTCTGACAATAAGAGAAGCTAGAAAGTTCCTGGAGAAACTTTGATGGGAACTGTCACATTGTGGCCATTTTAAATGTAGATTCAACAGTTCTGTGCGTTGGGGTTCACTCTCGGTTATCACCTCACCAATTCTCAGCTCTCTGTATAAAAATAACTGAGTTAAAGACATTTAAATGTAGCTTTGGTGGCCATCTTGAATTTTTTATTTGAATTCAGTATTTATTGGGCACTGCTCTCATCTACCCCCACACCAACTTTCAGCTGAAAATCTAAAAATGGCTGATTTATAGTGTTGTTGTTTTTTTTTTTACCTCAGGTGGCCATCTTGGATTTATTATTTTCAGTCAGAGTCTATTAGGGATTGTTCTCAACTACCAACGCACCACATTTCAGCTAAATAAATTAAAAATCCTCTGAGTTAAATCCATTTGAAATTAGCTTTGGCTGCCATCTTGAATTTTTAGATTTGAATGTGGAATATGTTGAGCATCACTGTCAGGTACTACCACACCAACTTTCAGCTCAGTATCTTTTGAAATATCCATTATCTTATTTTTACCTTTTAGCTAAGGTGGCCATCTTGGATTTTTAATTTGCATTAGGAATATAAAACAAGTCGCTCTCAGAACATCAAAGTTCATGCTCAATCATCCAGGTCAAAAATCCAACAATGTTCAGTCGGATCATCTGGACGTTTTTTTTTTAGATGTTTCATCCTTCATCAAAAGGACTTCATTCAAAGCTTGTGGGACTAAGTTTCAGATCGATGAAGGACGAAACGTCTCAACAAAACAAACAAACAAACAAAAACATCCAGATGTCCTGACTGAATGTTGTTTTTTTTTACCTGCATTATTGAGCATGAACTTTGATGTTTTGAACCACTTTGGCATGGCTGCCTCATAGGAGTCGACAGGGGAGAGGGCAGACCCCAGAAATCATCTAATCACCAGCAAACTGCTTGGTCCACTTGTGGGACTAAGTTTGTTGTGGCTCCTCAGATTGATGAAGTCCTTTGGATGACGGATGAAACATCTCAACAACAAAAAAAACGTCCAGATGATCTGACTGAACTTTGTTGAACTCTCTCTCAGCTACGACTGTAACAAATTTTTGCTCAATATCTCAAAGAATGACTGAGGTAGCGGTGGCAGCCATCTTGTACCAAAAAAGCTGTGTCCCAATCCAATGGCTGCATCCTTCGAAGGCTGCATTTGAAGGCCGCTTACGTCACGACGACGTGCCGAGGCCTGTCCCAATTCACAGCCGCTGACTTCCGGTCTACGTGGTCTTTGAAGGACCCAGCCTACGTCAACCGGGTAGGCCGGGTCCTTCGAAGGATGCAGCCGTTGGATTGGGACATAGCTAAAGGCTCCAAAAGTGAATCAGTTTTTTCAGAGACCTCTGCCGTCCGGGTCATGTGACCTCACTGTGTCAGTTAGAGGCTGTGAAGAGTTCCGTCAGGCGTTTTGAATTGGAAAAATGGCGTCTTTGTTTGCAAGCTATGTCGTCACGGTAACTCAAAACACCAATAAAAGTAACACCCACACATTCCTCCACCCTCATTCGCTCCACTCTGGGCCCATGAGCAAGGCCCTTAACCCCCACCATCTGCTCCCTAAACAGGTCTCTCTTGAAAATGAGTTCTCGTGACTCAAAGAAACTACCTGGATAAATAAAGGGTAAATGAAAAGTAACAGGACACATCACGGTGCCGAGCCGGTCGTTTCGATATAACATTCGTAGGGTACACATTGCGGTTCGGGACGGATTCAAGTTGAGGAAGTTTTAGAAGGTAAAATTCAGAGAAAAACTAAATTTAATGTAAGAATCGTCAACATAAAAGCAAACAAACGGTTTCCTAGAGTAAAATGGACGTTTGCATCATCCTGCCATCTTCAGTACAGTAGTCCCTCGCTACTTCACGGTTCAGTTTTGCAGACTCATTCTGTCGCAGTTTTTCAAAATAAGACTGGACATGACACTCAATTGGCTGATTGATGGATGAGCCGCACGATCGGCATGGATTTTTTATTTAAAATAAATTATTTTAAATTATTTAGCACCTGCTGCTCAGGTGTGCAATCGACAACTCCTGCACTGTGCTATATCTCAGCTCTGCAGCGGAAAAGTGGGCGTGGCCGAGAGCGCTAACAGATGGCAAAGAGCAACTGAGACGGAGAGCTGAAATCATGAGTTTAGAAACATTGTTTAGAATATTGCAAGAGTGGGAAGGGTTTAGAACACCTTCATAT